TAGAGAGGTTTCTGCATGCTGTTCTTGTGCTCAGGATTTCCCCCCTTAACCCCCATCACCCAGTTTAAATTTTATCTTGAGGTCTCCGTGGCTGAGGGGTGATACAGCACCAGCACACATTTGGGCACAAGAAGGAGGGTATGAGCTTTCCACAAAAAACAATAAATTTGGCTCATATTCAGACATTGGAATAAGGAATTTCCTACAGCTCTTCTGGTCTCACACTTAGGGTTTGGCCAGCTGCTTTCAAAAGTAAGCTTCTCTATATAGAGACACTTCTGCCCAAAACTCTTGTTTTTCAAAATCAAGAATAAGGATTTATTACCTCTGCTTTGAAACTTTTTTCCCCTGAGCCTGAGGGTCTGCTGAGTCACTTTATTAATACTGTGCCTCATTTGGAAATTACATGGGCTTTAAAATTTTCATTTTTAAGTTATGTTGCCTGTAAGAAATGGCACCTATGCAGAAAGCTCACACCCTGGCAGATGCCCACAGCACCAAATGGTGTCACTGGTCTTGTAGCAAAACTACCAAAGAGCCACACCTTATGTGTCCAGAAAAGGGTGTTTACAGGGATATTTTCTTCTTGCAAAAAGTGGGGAAGTTTTTTGGGCCACAGAGATGATCAGAGAGTTGAAGCACCTCTCCAGTGAAGGCAGGCTGAGAGGTTCCTCAGCCTGAGGAAAATAAGGTTCTGGGAAGATCCTATTGCAGCCTTTCAGTACCTACAGGGAGCTTGCAGGAAAGACTGAGAGGGACTTTTTATCAAGGTCTGTAGTGACAGGACAAGGAGCAAAGTTTTAAAACTGAAAGTGGTTAGGTTTATATTAGATATTAGGAGGAAATTTTTCCCTGTGAAAGTGATGAGACGCAGGAACAGAAAAGGCATGGATGCTCCATCCCTGGAAGTGCTCAAGGCCAGGTTGGATGGGGCGCTGAGCAACCTGATCTAGTGGAAGTTGTCCCAATCCATGGCAGGAGTATTGGAACAATGGGTGTTGGAAGATGAACTTTAAGGTCCCTTCCAACCCAAACCATTCTGATAACATGAAGGAGTGGCCATAAGGGACTGGAAAAGTTTTGGTTGCAGTTTCCACATTATTTACAGGGTGGGGTTTTTCTTCATCTTTTTGATGGGATAGAAGAGGGCAACACTCTACTTGTCCATTACACTCACAGTAAATTATTGCACACAAGATTTCATTGGATTACAGAGAAGATGTAGCTGTCAATTTGATCACATGAATGGAAATCCACTAAAAACCTATCAAGAAAAAGTTCTGAGTATCCACTAAAGAGTGTGAAAAAACAAGGAGCACAGGTTCTGAGGCATTTTGCTGCAGTAGCACTTGGATTTTTGGGAGTCTGGGTATGTGGATGATATTCAGCAGCTCAGCAACCACAGGTGCAGCTGGACAAACCCAGCCTGGCTGACACCACTGGGGCTTAAATGCTTGCAGCAAGACGAAACACAGAGCTTGAACTAAATGAGCTAAAAGGAAATGTCCTTTCAATTACTATCAAGTTCTTCAGCTGCCAAAAGTAGGGAGGCCACAGGTACAATGATGTATGAGTACAGTACAAGTGACAAGCAAAATACTGTGACAGTGCTTGAGGATGAGGCAGAGACACGAGCCCTGGCAGAGGTGGCACGAGCAGGCAGCAAGGGGCTGTCCAGAAGTCACTGTGCTGGCTGACAAGAGCCAGCACCAACCTCAGGCAGATACTGCTCCTCCCTAGGAGTGTGCAGGCAGGTTTTTTGACTCTCCCCAGACAACTTGCTCCTCCTCCTTTAGGTGTCCCATTCCCTTGTCAGCCCCCATGTGCCATTGCTGGCTTCCAGCTGATGAATGAAAGGATACATGCACTCCTGCTGCTTCTTGCAGGGAGCAGAAACCCAGCAAACCCATCCTTCACCTTTTTCCCCTTGTCAGCTTGGTCCTCATCCATGAATCCCCAAGGACCTGAGGTCCTGCTGGTGCTGTCTCAAGTCCATAACATCAAAGGGAGATGCTTAGGCTTCCCAGGCACAGCCTTGCCATGCTCCTAGTCCCACTGTCCCAAAAAGTCCTGCATGTCTGGCTGGGTTGCTGGAGGTGAGCATGCTGAGGCATTGCCCTGTTTCCTTACCTTCCCTGAGTAGCCTGTTCTCTATTTATGAGTAAAATCCAGTCAGAAAACAGTGTGACTTAACTGCTGTCCCTGGTGAAGGTGTCCCTGATGTTTTTCAGATTCACAGCCAGCAGTCCAGTGTAAGTTTAAGTTTTGTCTTTTTTCTGCTTAGAGAAAGGTTTCTTGTCCTTTCTTGCCAGGATTAAATATTTTCCTTGATTTGGAGCATGAACCTCTAGCAAGTTTTAAAGAATTTATTCTGAAATTCAGATGATCACCTGCTTCTTACTGCTGTTTAAAATGACTGGATCCCAGAGACAAGCTGTGACTCGGTGGGTCAGGTACTCAGCAGGACAGATGAGGGAAATCAAGGGCTTGTCTGTACTTCTCTGCTCATGAAATTACATATGCAGATGGGAACAGATTCAGCTGCTGAGAGGCCAGACAAATCCACCCCAGGAAAGAGCAGGGCATGGATGTCATCCTGCCCCCAGTGCACTGCTTTGCTAAGTGCCAGGTATCACTTGCTCACATGCTCCTGGCTGCTTCGCTGCAGGTGCTGCAGCACCCCAGGCTTTCACATCCTGCGTGGCACGTGGGAGAACCCCTCAAACATCCTCCTCAAATCACACATCCCAGGCACAGCAACAAACACAACCAACTCATCCTCCAGGGGGTGGCTCCTGCTGCTTGGGTTTGTGGGACAGGCACTGACAGGTCCTGAACACACCTCCAGGTCCTGAAGACCCCGCAGGCAATGCTGCACCCTCCGTGGTGGGGCTTAGACGTGACACAGGTGGCTTATATTGAGGTTTACACAGCACTTCTGGGCCTTCTGTTGAGGGATTTTGAGAATGTAACTGCCAGGAGGCAAGGTGCCCAGTGGGGGTCGGGTGACCTGGCTGGGAATTAGGTGTCTTTTTTGGAGTAACACATGATGGGCATTAAACAGGCGTGTTCAGGCTGGCACAGTGGCACGCCAGCGCTGGCTGACCTTTGGGTAAGGACTGCGGTGAGCTGGAGGTGTAAGACAGCTCTGCATGCAAACAGTTAATTGAGTGCTTTCCAAGACAAATCATGATTTTATGACTACAATGCGTGAGATCTCACCCCTTCCAGCAGAGCAAGGGGGGAGAGACAGCAGATATCAGACTGTATCTAATTTCTGAACTACCTTCCCATGCCTCACGCACGCACTCCTCTGCATTTCATACAGAGTGAGAGGGTCCAGGAGCACCGTGTTCCCTGCTGGATAGCCAAGCCAGGGACAGGTGCTGCAGAGCTGTGCATCATGAACAGACCCCAGGGAAGGTCTGGGGTATATAGAAGGCAAAAAATAACATGTAAAATGGTTTGGGGTATATTATTTCTTTGACAATGTGGAAAAAAACAAAAGCAACCATTTCTTGTGTCAACGTCAAGTTTGCTGGTGTAGATGGAGGTGTGTAGATAGAGGCTGTGTGATCAATCCTCTGACGAGAAAGGAAATCAAGTTAATTTAAACATAATACATCTGGCAGCGCTGGAGTTAAAAGCAAAGCCTCTCCAAGCGAAACCTTAGCTGCCAGATGTAAAACCCCACCTGCCAGGCACTGCACACTTTAACTGATCCCACAAGCCTTCCCACGTGGAGTTTACATCCAAGGGGAGAGCATGTACCAGTCCTGTTCCCAGCTACTTATGCTAAAACACACACCCCTGTGATAAACAGCTGCGGCCCCGCAACAGCTGCGGCGGCGGCAGATGGAGCCCTGCCCGGAGAGGGGCAGCAGGCCCGGCATGACCGGCACGTACCCACGGTCCCCAGAAAGCCACCTCCGGGCGAGTGGCACCGCGCTCCGCAGGGCTCAGCTCCCTGCCAGCAGCGTCAGCTGGGCGCCGGGCTGGAAACTCGGCGCCCGGGATGGTCCTGTCTTAAATATAGAAGGGTCTTCTGGAAGATAAATAAATAAGAAAATAATTTTTTTTAAAAGTAAATTTAAGGGCGTTTTTGTTGTGTGTTGCTTTGGTAATTCAGTCAGTGGAGCACCTGGGGGTGGAACCAGGCTTTTAGAAACTATTATGTAACTAGAAAACTTATCTTTTAGCTGTAAGTATTTTCAGTTTTCTGGTACTTGCCAATTTAATAGTAGTAGTTTGTGGGATGCAAGGGGGCAGGGGTGAACAACCTGCATAATAACTTAATGTAAGGCTTTAAGAGGCATAACTTCACGCAGAGAGCGTGAGGCAGCTAAAGATGCCTCAGAGACCCCTGACCCACCAGAGGGTCCTGCCAGAAGAAATCCAAGGGGCCACCCTCTCCCCGGAGCGGGGGATTTACATCCTCCTCGGGGGAAGCTGCCCGCGCTCCAGCGAAGGGAGATGAGCCTCCGGAGGGCGCTCGGGTGATGCACAGAGACACGCGTGGGGCAGGCAGCATCTTCCCCGTATCGCTCCATCCCAGGCGCCGCCGGGGAAGCGCGTGGGGGGATGCAGCGCGGTGCTGGTGGCGGCGGCGGCGGCGGGGTAAAATCAGCGTTTCCAGCCAGCTTTTCCGCTGGCCCGCGCGGGAAAGGGAAAATCATCGCTGAGCCGGGGGAATGGGGTGCCGGTACCGGCGTCGGGGCAGCGCTCCCCGGGGACGGCACGGTGCGGGGAGGGCGGCAGGAGCCCGAAAGGCACCCGCACCGTCCCGTGCTCGTGGTGGGGGCACCTCGGACCGCGGCCACCCTCCGCCGGGAGGTGGCAGCTCGCTGCGGCGGCAGCCCTGCCTCCGCGGCCGCGCACCCCACCCGCTCCCGCCCCCGGGTCCCCGGGGGTGCCGGGAACAGTCGTTCCCCGTCATTGGGGCAGGAGGCGGGGCCCGCGCCGTATAAGAAGGGACCGAGCGGGCGTTTCACTCCCAGGTCCTGAGACGCCTTGTCCCATCCCCGCCTCCTACCGCTGCTCACGGCGTGACCCGAGCCCGGATCGGCCCCCTCGGGGAGGCGACGGCGGGGCTACAGCGGCAGCGCCGGTGCCACCGAGCAGCAGCAGCGGCGGCGGCGGCGTGAGCAGCAGCCCGCTCCCACCTGCCCGTGACAGAGGCTGGAGCTGCGAGCGTCGCGGAGCGGCGTTTGGTGCCCGCGCTCCGGAGCCCCCGCGCCGCGGCCGTGCGGCGCCGCGTCCCGCTCGCCCATGAGCGCCGCCGCTCTCTACAGCCTGGACTCGCCGGCATGTTATAAGAGCTGGTGCCTGGAGCCCGCCAACTTCTACGACGCCAAGGTGGGCAGCGGCGGCGGGCCGGGTCCCGCCTGCAAGCCGGGGGCCCGCGGCGGCTGCGGGATGAGCGGCGAGGAGGCGGGGGGCGGCCTCGGGGGCAGCGGCACCAACCTGGCGGAGCTGAGCGCCGCCGCCCCGGCCATGTACGAGGACGAGAGCGCCATCGACTTCAGCTCCTACATTGACTCCATGTCTGCCGTGCCCAACCTGGAGCTCTGCAACGACGAGCTCTTCGCCGACCTCTTCAACAGCAACCACAAGCCCGAGCGGGGCGGGGAATACGGCGAGTACTTGCCACCGGGCGGCGGCGCCGGCCGCGACCCCGCCAAGGACCTCGGCGCTGCCATGACCACCCTGCTGGGCTCCGAGCCCCGCACCGCCTCCTCCTCCTCCTCCTCCTCTTCCTCCTCCTCCTTCTCCTCCCGCGGCGCTCTGAAGCAGGAGCCGGACTGGAGCGACAGCGACCTCTCCTCCTCGCTGCTGCCCTCGCAGATCGCCACCTGCGCCCAGACCATCATGAACCTGAGCGGGCAGCCCACGCCGCCCACGTCCCCCGAGCCGCCGGGCTCCAGCTCCCCGTCCAGCTGCAGCACCCGCTCGCCGGGCCCCGCCGCCGCCGTGCCCGGGCCGGCGCAGGGCGTCCCGCCGCCCGCCGCCGCCGCCGCCGGGGGCAAGGAGCGCGGCGGCAAGAAGTGCGTGGACAGGTTTAGCCCCGAGTACCGGCAGCGCCGGGAGCGCAACAACATCGCCGTGCGCAAGAGCCGCGACAAGGCGAAGCGGCGCAACCAGGAGATGCAGCAGAAGCTGCTGGAGCTTTCGGCCGAGAACGAGAAGCTGCACAAGAAGATCGAGCAGCTCACCCGGGACTTGACCAGCCTCCGGCACTTCTTCAAGCAGCTGCCCAGCGCTTCTTTCCTGCAGCCCGGCTCGGGCACCGACTGCCGGTAACCGGGGGGGAGCGGGACGGAGAGACGGACTCCGGGAGACGGTGGATAAATACCTCAGAGGGCCGTGCCGAGCCTCGCCGGGCCGTGCCGCGGCGCCCCGGGCCGGGCCGGGCGCGGCAGGAGGCGCGGAGCCGCGGCGGGACCTGCCGGCCCGCGGCCGCGCTCGGAACGCGGCAGCGACGTGGAGCGATGCCTGGGTCTTTCACCACGAAACTTGCGAAAAAGGGAAAAAAAGCTAAATATATTATTTTTTTTTCTTCTCTCCCCTTAAATTATTTTTGTAATGGTAGTTTTCGTCTTTTCTACATTTTACTCATACCGATGCAGCTATGGTACATCTGTTAAAATGATTCAAAATCCCATGTATTTTAGACAGTAGGATGGAAAAAAAAAAAGACTGAGCATGCTCAACCTTTTATATCAATTTTTACAGCATTTCTAAGAATAAAGAAAAGCATTTTAAATCAACCCTGCTCTCGTTTGCTCTGTGTCGTGACAGCAAGGGGCTGGCGGCGGGGAAAGCTCTGCTGCCCGGGAGGGGCTGAACACGGGCGGGAACGCGGCCAGGGGGTCCCAGGGGCCGAGAGGGGAGGCGAGGGCAAGCGAGGGGCGCTGCGTTACTTCCCAAAGCATCCAGAGAGCGATGCAGGGGTGGGAGCAGCCGGGAGACCCCTGGGCCGCGAAGTCTGCTCCCCCCGGAGCCGGAGTGCTGAGTCAGGGGTTGCCGTGGCGCTGGTGGGACCGAGAAGCTGCACATCGAGAGAGACTGCTCTGTGAGCGGGACTCTGCCAGAAATACCGTATTCTATATCTAAAAAAAAAAAAAAAGTGCATGGGACTAGAAGAACATCATTAAAAGAATACCACTAGTTAAAAATTCCTGTTTAAAAAGCTTCCAAGGGTTTCCATTCTAGATAATGCAAAGCCGCACCTACACTAACATGTTCGATAGCAGGACCAGAGCTCTGTAGTGAGTCCCAGAGGTGTCTGGCAGCCTCAGGCTTCAGCCCACTCCAGGAGCTGGACACTTTCACTGACCCTGGCTAGTGAAAGTGAGAGTGGGCAACTGCTGCTCATCACAGAGTCAGTGGTCACAATGAGTTTCACTGATCCCTGCTAGTGACAGAGCGGCAAGGCAAGGCAACGCTGCTGCTCATTGCTGAGTGAGTGAACAGATCACAGAAATCGGGCAACTTGTCTAAATTTCAGTAGTGCAGTGTTAGAGCAGCTACAGCATCTCTAGGGCACTGGCAGAAAAATGGCCTGACACAACAAACCCCTCCAGTTTTCCCTGAGACTCAAATCCTAAATGGTTTTGAAGGGGCAACCCCAGTCTCACAAACAGACCTCTACGCAGGAATGGGCTCTCATATCCTTTTTCCTTACAGGGAGGCAGGTAAGAGACTGAAATGCTTGGAGGAGATGGGGGAAAAAAAAGGGGAATTCAAAGGGGAATTCAAAAGCTGGGTCATTCCTTTAGTAATTGTGCCATCCATAAGACTTTTCACGATTGGCCTGAGCCGCAGAAATGACCAGTGTGGCAAGTTTGCTGTTCCTTTTCTGCTGGTTAATCGCACATGGGACCTGCACTAAAACCACTCGTTCCTCCTCCTCTGACCTGTAAGGGGCTTTTAAACACTGTGAAAGAGTAAGGGGGGGGGGAAACCCATGCAGTCTCTTAATTCTTACATTAATTCTTGCAATGCACACAGAGGAAGATTTTGGCATTTATCTGATCTGTAATCTCCACAGTCTGGGTGGGGGTTATTGCGTGGCCTACAAGCAGTTTGCTGCTTACCCATAAAAGAAATTATAGTGAAACACCCGCTTTGTGGGAAGCTACAGATAACTCACAGCTTCTATGCTGACAGACCAATTAGCTGTGAAACATTAACTTTATATGTGTTCAAATCTCTGTCTTTATAACAACTATTGCAAAGTGATAACTCAGAATTCACATACCACACAGTGTTTTGCAGCAGGTCTGGGATACGCTGATAAAACTCAGCTTAAACCAACTGCCAGAGCAAGGTATTTATTTCAAAAATATCAGTGAATTTTTTTCCATTGACACACAATAAATACAGTATTATTAAAAATAAATCACAACCATTCAAAACTTCCAGAAAAAGATGTTTTACATTACGTAACAGCAAACACAACGAAGAACTGTATTCTTAGATTCTGCACTGATCAGAAAAAGAAGAGTTCAGAAAGTTGAACAATATACAGATTTTTTTTCAGTATTAGCACAATGTGCTTTATAAATCACAGTTTTAATAAACTATCTTAATGCTTATCACACTTGCATTACACATTATCTGTGGCACTGGTTAACAGATAATCACATTACAAAGTCCACAGATACTATAATAGCTGACTAGAGTTCAACTCTGTCTTGCTGCAGCTTCCAGAAGAACAATTTCCTCCAGCGCAACACAGTTGGGGTGACTGGTTATGGAGTGGACGTAGCAGCTCAATAACCCCACCTCCTTTCCCAGCATGCTCTGCACCTCGTAAGTCTGCAGGAATAAAAGCATGGTGAGTAAAACAAACAGTGCTGGACGTTCTGTTCTAGGCAGCATTCAGCTGGGAAGATGCAGCATGCAAGATCCTCTTCCAACAGACAATTTTTTTAAAGGACTCGGAAAGTGCATTAGAACTAATGGAAAGAATGAATATATTACATTTTCAGTAATTAGATCACACTCCTGTCTCAGTTGCTGCCCTACCAGGCTTTAAAAATGAGCTGTTTAAAAAAGAAAAAAGTTACTGTGACTTTGAACTCAGTTTTGCTGAAGCATAATCTATACATGCTCCCTTTATCTTCCTTTATGACCCTTGCAGGCTTTCCTGTGTGCTGGCAGTGCTATACTACATACATGCTATACATTGATTACCTGTGCTAACTAAAGGAAAAACCATTTTGTAACCCTTCCTACTCTTGTCCCTCACCCCCTTTTAACTTTGTTGTTCATGCATCACCACCACCAGCACCAACACAGTCCCTCCTGTTTAATGATCCCACTGGCATTTCACCCACGAGTTGTGCCTGAGCGAATTTGCAAAGGCTGAGCTCTGCGTGGAGGAGAGGGATGCAAGGCTGGCACGGCTGCACTAAGAGGAGACAGCACGATAACACAAGAACTGGTAACACTCATAGTTGATATTTCACTTGAGAGAGTATCTCAGGTGGCAGGTTCACATCCATTTCTTTCCTTAACAGGAAAACTTACAACAAGCCTCTGCCTTCGTCTGCGCTGTGCTTCTGTACAGGTATGTGATACCCATGGCGTTGCCTGGCTCAAGGTATAAACAATCTTTTTTCTTTTTTTTTTTCCCTGGATTATTTTTCCCCCAGACCGGTTCTGCAGTCCAGTTCGCTGTGCAGCTGCACAAACAACTCTACTGGTGTAACAGAAGGGCTGCCACAAGGTGAGGAACGAGTAGCCAGGGCCAGTGAGGGCTAAAACCAACCTCCCTGCCAAAAGAATTGATTACAAAGCTACACCCTTAGAAACTTTAGCAGCACTGGCAAAAAAATGCCACCTCAAGTGGTATTTCTTGTGACTAATCTTTATCCCTGTGTTTCAGCCAGGGAAGAAAAAAAAATCTGAGTTGCTAGACTTCTACACACTGAAACGTGAAAAAGAGGTTGTTTGAATTCTAATAACTCGAAAAATAACTATGTTTTGCCAGTCTGTAACCAAACCAGACATCCTGTAAAACTCAGCAAGACTTAATTGCTATTAAAGGAGCAAACACATTTTGGAAATTTCTTGTATCTCTGCTTAAATGAAATATACACCCTTCACCAGCATAAGAAAAGTAATTTATTATTTCAGAGTAACTTTCCACTTTAAATATTACCCACAAATCTCATTGAAAGCATGGAGCATGTAATAGGAAAATGCTGGAAAACTTGTAAGACAGGGAAAGCAAACTGACCCCAGTACATATCACCTAACTGAAGATATTTAACTGGGATGATTAAACAAGACAACAAACTGACCTTTGCTCCCATTCACGTGCAAGGGAGAGGGAAAATCTTGAAATCCTAATTGGACTTAATGACTTTCTGAAGGCTGCCGACCATCCAGCAGCCAATGCCAGCCAGGCACCTACCCAGGAGCCTCCCTCATCCCCGATAAATCTGGGTCACTGTGCCAAGTGTCAGGGTTCTCCTGATATCTCAGATTAAAGGAATAACTACTTCACGATTACATAAACTGTACTTTAGCCCATGGATCTCCATGGCTCATGTGTGTTTCATTCATACAATTATCAAGTAATATCTTGCACGCATTTTGCAAATTCTTCTCCTATCTCCACCTGCCTGTACTTTCACTGTTGTGCTGTTCAAAGTGGCTGTGGTTCATAGGATTTAGAAGACAGACCCAAAAGGTGGGATGCTTGGAAGGTCTTTGGATCTTTGCTGTCTGTGGATCCTCAGCCAGAGAATGGAGTCAAGCCCAGCACTGCCCGTGGCAGCTCTGAGTGCTGTTTGCAAGTTGCTCTGCAGATCCACAGCTGAGCTGAAGCTACACAGCCCATTGCTGCACCCCCCTTCTGAAAAGGAGGGTGTGAGTCTGATGAGATGGCAGAGCAGCAGCAGCTGGAAGGCAGGATTGCCAAAGGGCACAGCCCACTCAGTCACAGCCTGGACATGGGGAAAAAAATCATTTCACTTGTAGTGAAATCTCTTACCACTCCTAGTGCAGTTCTGAAGTGAACTGCCTGGGAAGTCAGAATCTGCACCACTGGAGATTTTCAAGATCCTGCCACCACAAGTCATGGTTGATCTGCCATACCTGATATTGATACTCTGCCTTACATTAAGTTCTGTAGTTTAACTTTCTTTGGTCAGCATTCATTATACCTACCCCATCCTCACAGGCAGAGGACATCAGGAGAGAAGAGATTGTCCTTTGCAACAGCTGGAATGAGAAAATTCACAGGTTCTGTTCATGACAAAAATCTTAAGTGTGCAAAAACATTCTGTTTGCAGTCACATAGAACAAAGATTTATCATTTTAATATCAAAGAGTTTTGTTTCTCTGGCCAAGAAAGCAGAGGAGAGGTGACACAAAAGATGTTCAGAATGGAAGTCTAATTATACACATTCCTTTTAGACGATGTAGACTGAGGTTTCTAAAGGCCCAGCCTAACAAATCCCTTCATCTGGGCCATAGAACAGTTTGCAAACCTCAGGGTGAACTCAATGACTGCATTATTTGAGCAAGATCTGGGAACTGGGTTCTTAGCCCAGTGAAACACAAGTTTAGTATTAGATTAAATTATGGGACAGTCTTACATATTTTAATTTGACTTCTGACAGAACTGTTCATAGAAGTAGGGCTTAGAATACCTATGTGTCTACACATCTAGTCTCACTGCACCTGCTACACCAGCACTTATTTCATGCCATACCTTTACTCTTACTGTACTTTGAGATCGGGATGGACAACT